GTTTCAGCCAAGACGTGACAGCGACACATGCTACAGTTAGGGACCTATGCAGATGTATTGAGGGCGTAGGTCACAAACTGTACATGGACAATTCCTTTTCTTCACCTGACTTGTTTGACGAACTGATGACAAAGAACATAACGTGCTGTGGGACAGTCAGACCTAATCGGAAGGGCTTGCCTGAAGATTTTCGACGAAGACAATTTCGACTGAAGAAAGGGGACATTCGTGTTAGGGTGAGACAGAACTTGACAGCACTAGTTTGGAAGGACAAACGTGACGTTTACATGCTGACAAATATGCACTCTCCTCCAGCAGAAGGCAGTTTCTGTAATGAGCACGGAAATGCCATCAAGCCAGCAATTGTTGCTAACTACAACAAGCACATGGGTTATGTCGACAAAGCGGACAGAATGGCAAACAGTTATAGCATCTGTCGTTGAACCTGGAAATGGACAAATAAATTATTTTTCCATCTCCTGGATCTGATGATTCTGAACAGTTATATCCTGTTGTCATCCTATGGCGCGAAATTGTCACACAGAGAATTTCGTCTCGCCCTTGTGCGGAACATGCTGCAGCATGCTGGAAGGGGCCCCCCTCACCCTCAATGGCCCAGGGGTCGAACCCCTGCTGTTTCATCGGGGTCATTTCGAATAGAGGAGGCCAAACAACAGCACTGGCCGACTTCCTCTACTTCGAAATTGAGGTGTCGAGTGTGCTCTTCGCGTGGGAAACAAAGAACCGTCCGGATAAAGTGCGTGAAGTGTGATGTGGGACTCTGCATTTCCAGGTGTTTCCAAGATTTCCACACGAAGCCAACATTCCGTTAGATGATGCAGGTGGGAAGAGAGACAACTTATAAAGCTGGAGACCAAAAATCATATAAGTAGAAAAAGAATTTATAACTTAAAATTAGATTTTAAAAAGCCGGCCACACGTGTGGACTGCGCGACGACATATGGCATCATTCGTCTGCTGACTTCAGATGATTTCAGAGGATGCAGCTGCTGCCGAACTATCAACGCTGTCTCCGGCATATGCGTTTTATAATTGCCAGTAACGAGAATAATTATTAGTTATTTTGAAATTCATGATAAGTAAAGCCTGTACTCATCAAAAGTTTTTCTATATGTATTTTTATTTTTTGTTACTTTTGTAATTGATTTAGGGCAGTTTTAATTTTTATCTGTAGGAAAGTATGGTGCTCCCCCCTTTCAAGCCCTTCGCGCCCCACAGCTTGAGAACCACTACTTATTGGTGTAACACGTCGTATTCATAATTAACGTAAAAACTTTGCCTTTGATTAGTGTATAATTAAAATAGCAAAAATAATAAGAATAATAAAAGATAGTATAAAGGTGTATTATATATAAAATGTTGAAATATTATTAACACATTGCGGACCGGTGGTTTAAACATTTAAATCACCCTGGGGACCGGCGGTTTTAAACCTACTACCCTAACTTGTGCACTGTTCACTTTAAAAATTAATATAAAATCTCCTAATTAATTTTATGAACTGAAATTTTTGGAGAACACTTACCAGAGCTCCTAGAAGTGCTTGCGCGTGTGATCTCACTGGAAACATTCCCCTTTGTGAAGAGGCATTACGCAGAAGTTGCACATGTAGGCAGTTCTACTCTTCTTCTTGTGCTCTGCGCACACACGGCACTGCCTAGAAGGGTGTTTCTTCTTGCAATATTCACTCTTCACAATTTTCACGAGAATATGTTTCCGCATATCACCCGAGAGTCGGCCAGGGGGGTCTACTTGAGGCCTCCGGCGGGTGCGAACAGATGGCCCTGGTTGCACTACGTCTGTGTCTGACGCAGGTACTGCCACCACCATGACGTCAGTAGCCCAAGCTTTTGCCAGTTTCAACAGAAATGCTTTTTATTTCAAAGTAGAATTTCTGTTCACCTTTTTGAAAACCGTAAATGAATTGAAAATTGCACGGTTTATAAGTTACAGTGCAACTTTCTTCGTCCATTTTACTGTTTTCCTAGGAAGGGAATAATAGGCCAAGAACTGGTCGGCCCTGTCAACTCCTTTCATGAACATATTATACTCGGAAATACAAAGAGGCTTCTTTACTTGCCCGTGTCGTCTTTGAACATCGACCATGCTTGAATTGTGAATAGTGGAAACCATATTCACAACGCGAGTATCCCTCCAGGGCTGAAGAAGAATGTCCCCTTCCGTCAAAGAAACTATCTCCAAAAAACAGTGACGCAACCTCAGACACGTCTGTTGGGTCCGATGGCATCTGCTTCACCCCCGGATCACCAGTAAACTTTCCCAAAGTGGGGGTTTTGTCCACTTTATCCCATGTAGCTGTCCCGACACTCGCACTTTCAACGGAGCTCTCACTTTCACTTGACACATTTTGGGCAGCCCTGTGGCCCCCGTCACTGTCACTGTCACTGATAATGGCCTTGCTATCAGAAGACGAAGCAGTTGGCAAATCTGATAGCTCATCAGAGAACATATCTAATATTTCCTGTCCTCCGAGAGATCGCAACTGCTTTTGTCTCTGAGCCATGTTGAACTGGTAGCTGCGTGGTTCATACGTGCAAGCTTGGATTAGAACAAAGCCAATTTTGTTTAGGTTGTGACAGGAAATGACTCTGGTCGAGTTACTAGATAAGGCAGCAATTTTTTCCGAGGTCATCTACGCAGTAGTTACGATTCAGCGAAGCCACACAGCGATATATAGCGTTTTGCAACATAACGTGACCATAGAGGGCCATATGGCCCGCCCGGCCCGCAACACTTGGAAACGTAGAGTGCCATATGGCCCGTCCAGTCCGCAATGTGTTAAAACATATTAAAGGTATGTTAGAAGTACATGAAAGTACATAAAATGTATTACATCTACGAAGGGGGACCCAAAAATAACCAGAACCGACCTGTTGCGCACGCATGCTTTGTAGTTACGAGTTGTGCTGCTAGATGGTGTTAGCTGGGGGTCTCCCGCGACTGTTAGTGAGCTGGCGACAGT